AACTGAGTCCATTCCAGGAACAACATTCCTCTCATTTTCGGACTTACAGAGAAATTGATGTACAAATTGAAGACTAAAGATCAGGTCCTTGTTCTCAACACTTCTGCCTTTCTTTTAGCTTGCATTACTGTTGTCCCTTTCCCTTTTGCTTTTTCTGTTTCACTTCCAGTTCATCTCTTTCTCCTTCTTCGTAGTGTTTTATAGCTTTCCCTCTTCTCTGTGTATCCCTGGGGAGTAGGAGCAACTCCAACACCTACAAAAGTGAGGATGCTTTCCAAGCCCTTTCTCTATAATAAAAAAAAAAAATCTGTTCATGTCATGCTTGTTTTTTGAGATCTTCTGGGAGTGTCTGAAGAAGTAACCATGGTCTACACTGCCTCATCCCTTTCCTTTGAGGACTATGTGTCCTGGTTACAGATTCAGATTTTCTGATCTTCCTGACTAGTAACTACAGGCTTTATTCTGGACAACTTTTTTGAAAGGAATATTTTTTCCTAGGTCCTTCTACTTACCTTCCTCACTGTGTCAGTATTCTGGAGGTATCCTTCTGGTGCTTTACTGTGCAATCTATGCTTGGTTTGGAGATAAGTAAGTCCCTCCTCCTTTAAAGCAGGTTAAACTGCAAGTGGAATTGCATTAAAATAATTCATAAGACAGTGAATTAATTGTGGTATATGCATTCCTCTAATGAAAGACACCTTAAGAATGAAGTAGTATTTGTGTTATCAAATGCAGGTTTGAAAGTTGAGACCTAGAACAACTTTCTGAAAAACCTGATGCAAGCTGGCTGGTTGTATAGTGCTTACTTTCCTTGTTCTTACCTGTCAGAACCATTAGGAAAAGACGACTAGATGAAGACTTGGACAACTTAATTTTCCTTCTTGAATACAATATGGAAAGCTAAAAATACAAAGTATTTTCCCATTTCTCTTTCTTATAATCAGTTTAGTTTCCATAGGAATGTTAAGCAGTGATCATAGGAGCTCATGAGGCAATTATTCCCGATTAAACAATTGAACTGAAAAACTCTGATGTAAAAGGTGACTGTTCCCCCCCACTTCTTTCTTTAGCTGCCCCGTGTGTGTACATACATACGTGCATGCACACACACTTAACTTTCTGGGTAGGCCGCCTCCTTCATTTGTGTGGTAAGGGCTTCCTTTGTTTCCAGTTGCACACTGACAATGAAGAGTCAAAGAACTCTTCCAATTGATTCAAATGCAGTCACTTTCTTGACACTAGGATTTAGTGCTGTACAACTGTTTTTCCTTGCCTAGTTAGAATGCGAATTTGAAGTAGTCCTCTGTACCTACACTACATGTTTTTTCGTATTGCACTCATTTGTTAATTCTATAGTCAAGACAGATATGATAGTGTAGGCTGAACAGGAACAATACATGTACTGTTACAAGCTGGCTTGAAATCTCCAGTTTTAGATGGGATTGTTGCTGGTTTTGAAGATGGCAGACCCTAATGCACCTCTTCACACAAAAACATGTGAGGAGTAAATGGATTCGAAAAGTGCAACAAGTATTATGTGAAATAGAAGTGGCAATATCTTCTGTGCCATGAAGATATGCCGTGACACTTGGCTCATCTGAGAAATCTGAGTAATATAATGGGGCTGTGGGAGAGAAATGAAATGACTCAAAGAAGAATTGTTATGCCAAAACCAAAATGTCAGGGAACAGGTTTTTGCTCAAAAAAAAAAAAATACTCGGTGTTGAATTTCAAGGTTTACTTGCATAGTTTTGCTTTCATTGAAATAAAATGAAATGTTGCTTGTATTTACCTGTTTTTTCTCTCTGTTCCCAAAGTCAGGAGTATAGATTTTTGCCCAGCTCTTAAATTAGTGATGTTACTAATGATAATCTTCAAGCTTTACGTTTTTCACCTGAAACAAAACTATCTTCAGCAAAAATAAGAAACAGTAAGGGTGTCTAAGGCTCACTTCTTACTCCTTTTTTTACTGCGAGGGTTCCTGAGCACTGGCACAGGTTGCCCTGGCAGGTTGTGGAGCCTCCATCCTTGGAGGTACCCAAAAGCTGCCTGGATGTGGTCCTGGGCCACTGACTGTAGGTGGCCCTGCTTGAGCAGGGGGGTTGGACCAGATGACCTCCAGAGGTGCCTGCCAACCTCAGACATTGTGTGATTCTGTGATTCTCCAGAAGTTTTCTCTGTGTGTGTGCACGTCGGGGGAAATTCTGTACCTTGCATCCTTACAAATAGCAGCTATTTGACAGGTACACTAAGGTATGTAAGTATGAACTAATGCGCCTGGAACATTAATGTTTTAATAGGGCACAGTCGTATGGGTGCCTAATTAAGATTAAGTATTTACCTATGTGCTTTAAGCATCTTAATTTTTTTTTTTTTATCCTGGACTGTTACCAGGTATTCATTAGTGCCTATGACAGAATGTTTCTATCTAGTCACTTCACTGAAGTTCTTCAAAATATCACTATTTTACTATTTTTAAATGATCATCAGTGTGTGAATCCTATTGTGTGTGTGCTGTGTAATATAAAAATTATTCTGCCCTTGGAGTGAACTGTCAGTCCTGCTTTTCAATACGTACATGAAACTGCAGTATTGTTGATGCATTATAGGTGCGGAGGTAGGTGCAAGTAGTGAGAACAGAAGGAGATGATCCAGTTTTCGGAGAATCAAAGATTATTCAAACTAGCATGGAAACAAAAAAAACAGGGAAGGCTCATTAGGCTGCTAACTGGCTTTTTCTAGAGTTTGTGCCAGTGGTACTTTTGGCCAAAAGCAATGGTTACCTCTGAGTACTTGCTGTGGTCATCTCTCTTTTTTTGAGAGCAAGTGTTACTTGTCTTGTCCTAATCTTACCTGTCTTCAGAGAACACTTGCAGTAAATATGAAAAAATGTTATTTAAAGTTACTGTCTCCATTACAGTGTATTTCTTGTTTATCTGTTTTGACAACTGTGCTACTCCATCCAAGGGAGGAGGATTTGGTGTTCAGGTCGCCATGTAAAAGGAAATATTTTCCAGGTTTGTCCAGAAGAATCTGTTGCTGTGAAACGTTGAGTCCAAGAGGCTGATATTTGTGCATGTGTCTCATAGTAGGGAAGTAAGGAATCCACTGTCTGTGGCTAAAGGCTTTCAGAAACCCAGAAGGTAGCTTTCTATTTTCTTCTGCCTAGGAGAGGAAAGGAGTCTTGAAGGTTTTTGGAAAGCTTGAAGCAGTTCTCTGTGCATGTATCCTTGAATGTTTTGGGTTTTCTCCTAATTCTGTGACTTTCTTCTGTTGTAAAGTGAAGGCTCTATATAAGTCCTCAGTACTTAGACTGTAATCTGTTTCCTGGTAACTTATTGATCAAGTTCAAACCTTAAATAATAAACATGTGGCTATTTAATCTTCAAATACATAGATTTGGCTTAGATGCTTATCTTCAAAATAACCCATGGAAGACTGAAAGCTAGTTTCTGAGCACTACAAAAATAACATTGTAATAACTTTTAACAACCTTAAAGCTACTTTTATTATGCACAATATAAATTCTAGGAGTAAATCCATATCCTATGCGTACTACCTTTAATTTGAAATTTGGTGTTTGAGATCCCTTATGGAGTTGGACTTAATCTGCTCACTTAAGCCTTAAGGGGAATTTTGTGAAGGTTTCTTTTCGTCTGGTTTTTCCTTCATGCTACCTTAGCTGTTCTGGAGAGGAATTGGTGTGCTAGAAGAGATGAGTGCTCACGGTTAGGATGCCTGAGGTCGTCATTCATGGCTGGATGCAGTGGTTACGTAGAGAGTGTAATTTTCAGGGTAAATAGGATGTGAAGATTACTGTCTTGTGTTAAGCAAGAGGGAAGAGGTGATAAAAGTAGATGAACAATAAAGTAAAACAAACTTTCTGCTATTAACTGTAGAGTAGACTTTTCAGTGGAATATGCCCAAGTTGGGATGAACCTGTGTGAGAAACAAGAGGTTGGGTTTGCTTGTGGAGATGTATACTGGCAAATGAAGGAAAATAAAAGTAAGATTGTTATGTGAACAGTGATCTGACAGTCCCTTAATGGCAAGGATGTCTGAAGAAAGTGTCCCAATAGCTCTACTGCTTGAAGTTTAGCAAAATCAGTGTTAAAAACACCAGTGTAAGAAAAACAAACCAACCAACCCAAAAAACCCCAACAAAAACAAACCAAAGGAAAAAAAAAAATCAAAATCCAAGCCCCTAAATATGATTTTGTCTATTATTTGGTATATTTCCATTTGCAAATCTAACACTCGGCTACTAGAGCGTTGTTACCTTTTTAGACTCAAGAGCAAATGCTATGGCACAAGCTTGCAGACCTGCAATTTGTGTGTGTGTAAGCGGGATGCAGGTGTTTCATGCAGCGCAGAGCAGGCAAAGCTGGGAGGTAATGGCTGCAGCAGCAGCAGTGCGCAGGCTAAGAGCGAGCAGTACTGCGACGGTACGCTTGAGGGCTCTGAAGACTGTGAGGAATGGTGCAGAAGCAATTGCAGTTGAAGAATGTATTTTAACTAAATTAGTACGTTGTACCTGCGCAGGGTTTAATGCTTGCTGGGCCATTTGGCTATTTGCCATAATTGGCTTTCCATTCCCTTGATTGGAATCATAGATAAAAATTTGCTAATCCACTTTCTTTGCTGAAAGTATTAGAAAAGTAATCCATCTTTCAAAAATGCTCGAACAAAATCATATGGTATAAAGAATACTTTATGGAATAATGAGATTAATGAGAACTGTAAGGCATACACAATTTAAAACATTTTTCTATGGTTTTAAGGGGAAAAACGCAATCTGGGCACTATAAAGCCATAAGTACTTCCTTTTTTATGCACTGCCTTCTAAATGTGCATTACGTATTATGCTTTTGTCTACATGGTAAAATGTGAGTATATATTTAGGAAGAAGGAACATTTATTTATATATTTCTTATGTTTCAAAATACCTGATTCAAAGTTCTTGGCTGTGTTTTCCTCCCTCTCCCCTCTTCTGCCCACAGGGCATCAGAGCACGCATTTTGGAAACCCTTGTAATGCTTATTCTTCTGGCACTGCTTATCCTTGGAATCGTATGGGTGGCTTCAGCACTCATAGACAATGATGCTGCCAGTATGGAGTCTTTGTATGGTACGGAATTTAAAAAAACCACCACACTAGTTTAATTTTAATTATGGAAATAGATGTTTTCAAATAAATGTATTTCTAGTAAATGCTGTGTGAGTATTGCACAGGTTGTGAAGCAGCTGTATTAATTTAGTCAATACCATTTTTCTGTTAAATCCGGTTTTAGCATGCTGAGAAGGTCCATGCTCATGTGGACACGAGGTATGTTAAAAACAAGTGACTTCAGTGGTAAAACCTGAAGATACTTTTCAAGCTAAAGTACTTGGGGATTTAGTTGCCTGCAGGATTATTAACTGACTAATTCTCAGTTTATACTTGCAAATACAATTGTTCAATCCTGAACGCTTAAGAAAAGAAGTTAATTCAGTTGTGTTTGTGACATAAGTAGCCTATTTGTAATAAGCTAAGGCTGTACTAAATATTTTCTTTACAGACCTCTGGGAATTCTACCTCCCGTATTTATATTCCTGTATATCGCTGATGGGATGCTTGTTACTTCTGTGTAAGTATTTTCCTGATTATTCCAAAAAACAAATGATTTTTTTTTTTTAAGATTAAAGGAAACTGGTTTTCATTGTGAAAGTTAAGAGTGTAAAAAACATTTTTTTGGTGGGTTTTTTTATTCTTCAAATTTACATCTAGATGTAAATTTGTTAGGTTTGGGTTCTGAAGTTTGTGAACAAATACTACCTTACACTTTCAGGTTTTGAGGACCTTTACACCTCACCCAGAATAATTTTAATTTTTAACTTTTTAAAGCAGGTATTTGAAAAACAAGGACTGCATTCTGCAAAGGAAAGCACAATTTTTGTTAATAAAAAATGTCTGCAGGAGGTCAGTAGTATGGAGAGAAAGTTATTTTAGAACACTTAGTTTGTCCTATATTCACTAAACGATCCTGCTTTCTTTTTTAATTGGAAATCTTCCTGTATAGACAGAAGTTGGAACACAGTGCAATTAGCTTTCATAATCACAAAACTGGTATTTGGCCAGCCTGGAGGTCAGTTGTACAGCTGCATATAAAACAAATGCAGTAAAAACCCCTCCCCAACCTCATACTAACTGGTCCTAGCCAGAATTCAGTCACCCATGTTTAGGGGAGCAAGAAAGATGATGGAAGGCTCCAAAGTTAAAATTTCAGTGGGCCCCTGGGCCCTCCCCAAATAATTTCTAGAAAATTGCTAAGAGGGTAACAGAACATCTCCCTTTCTAGATTGTCATGGTTTCACCTGTTCTCCAGGCTTTATAGGTTTACAGCTCACACTTAGAGGGCTGTCACTGTGAAAAGGGGGGGAATGACAATTTGAAACTTCCTTAAAACTAAGCAGATCTGTCTCTGAAAGGTGTTGCTCGCAGAGACCTCGGTGGGTCTCCTTACATTCTCTGTATGTGGAGATTCTTAAATCCACTTTAATGGAGGGAGAGGGGGAAGCAGGAAAAAAAACCAAACCCCAAACCAAACCCCCATGGTTCTGAATGTCTCATGTAGGCTGTTCAAGAGTGAGATTCACAACAGTTGCTGAATGTTTTAATGGGGAAGTTGGCTTACAAACTTCCTACATCTCTCTTGCAGTTTGTTTCAGCAGAGCTGAAAACACAGAGTGTGTTCTGGGGCTATTGTGAACCAGTTCACCAAAATAATTGGGGTTAAATGCCAATTTCTGGAAAAGTTATTTGTAATTTATACAACCAAATCACTGAAGTTATTTAAGGCGCTCCAAGCTGTTATATCTGTGTAGCTGAAAGGGCAGCATACAGCAGTGGGAAAGTGGTAGGTGCTGGGGTAGAGCTTCATTAGATCTTCAGCTGGCTTAATTGCTGAAGCAGTGTATGAGTAAGGCTTATTGCAGTGGGGATTCAGAGCATTTCTTCCTTTCTCTGTTCTCCTTTTCCTGCAGACTTCCTCTGCAGTGAAGGAAGACTAGCTTAAGTTAGCCTTTTTTGAATACTCTTGGTTTTTTTCCCTTTAATACATAGTAGTCATAGTGAAACACTAGTTAATAAAAATAAATGTAATACTATAAAATCTTGTGTACTACTTTTTTTGACAACACGGTTTTATTATAATGGAAATTCTAAATGTATATCCTCATCCATACTGTTAAGAATTCCTTCCATCTCTTTCCATCTCCTACACACTTCAGTATTTGAAGGCTGTTTTCCCTAAACTATTGATTTTTTACTAATAATTTTCTATTATCATGGTTTGAGCCTTTCTCCCAACAAACGTACATGCACCATACCTGGAAACCATCACAGGCTATGATCAAAAAGGGCCAATTGTTATTTCATAGAAAAGTAGCTTAAAATCTGGTAGGCGAGCCTACTGCCAACTGAAGTTGCAGTATAATGCTCAGAACAAAGCAGCTTCATGATCTCTTTGACCGTACGGCTACACCTGTGCTAATAGATTAAATGTGCTTGAGATGTTCCCCAGTGCTGTGGCCAACTAGTGTCGTTCCATCCATGATACTGCAGTTTGCAGAAGGGGGCCGTGTATGTATTGCCTCATGATAATGGTTCCTGGACTGCATGCTCTCCAGAACTGCACCTGGGAATTGTTTGGGAAAGTGCTAACTGGCCCAGGGCAAATCATGCCAGGGATAGTTCTAGTAATTTACTGGTGTAGACAATCAAGTCTTAATGCCCAGGAATGTATCCTGGCGCTGCTGAATTTACTAGTGTAGACATAGCCTCTGGTGCCACATGCTTTGAATAAATAATTACTTGAGCAAGTTTAAGATATCTGATTATATGGTGTTCCTTGTTGACAAAAAAATCACAGTTATGCTCTTGGAGGGGAGAGATGCTTGTCTTGTTCATAATTCATATGATAGCAATGGGTTTTAAAGTTTGTACTGGAGTTTGAAGCTCTTGCAGTTCTCTTCAAAACCATACTTGGTTATATGTGGAACAGCACATTGAACATCCAAATAAAAATTGGTCTTTGACTTACAAATCACTGTTTTGCATAACCTTTCTTCCTCTCCAGTATGCACGCCAGTGGGACTTTCACGGATGTTTACAGTAATGGGTCAGTTGCTGGTGAAGCCAACAGTAAGTGTTACAGAAATCTGTCCTTGCGTGCTATCTGTTAGAAGGTAGAATGGCATTAGGGTACTTTCTTCTAGAATGGTTGGCACTTCTACGTAATTCTTTCTTCAGTTCATCAGAGTTTCTATAGTCAACATTTATCTATTATTTTATTTATTTTATTCTACAGTCAATATTTATCTTTAAAATTTTTTGTATAGCACAAAAGCCTGTTTTTTTTCCACAGAAAAAAAATTAATAGTATAGTCTTCTCCTGATTTTCCAATTTATGTAGCTGCTACTAGTATTAATATTTATTGCCAGTATTGCCTACTATGTCTGTTTTGCAAATGCCTGAAAAGTGTGGGCTTGTTCTGAGTTCAGGAGCAAAGGATACAAGACCAAATCAAGGCTGGATGACAAGAAGGGTACCTGGGGGTACACTTAGGTGGGTGAAATGTAGGTAGTAGGCATCTGTAAGGACTTGTTATAGATAGATACTCTACTGTTCTTGTACCAAGTCCTGTGAGGGAGGGGAGAAGTTTGTACTGTGTGCAGGTGCTCTAGTGACTTTGTCATGTTTCCTAGTTTGTATTTACTGAAATTTGGATGCACTTAGGTCTTGCATTCCTTTTCAGTAGTCAGTTCAACCCTGAAAATACAAAGCAAATATATAGTGTTTTGCTATCTGTAAGCTCTAAACTCAAAGCAGCTGATAGTAAGGTAGATGGACTTCATTGATTTGGTTTTAGCTTCCAATAGGAATTTATATTTCCTTGAAATATTGGCTTAGGTGAAAAGTCACTTTTTAATGCACTTTTTCAAAATCTGCAGTTATTTTTGTTTAAATCACATTGAGTGTGAAGGTTGATAGGTTGTTAATTTTTTCCCTAGGAATGATTTGAATGATTTGAATATAGGTCAGAGGTACTGTCCCTTCCCCTGTTCCCTAAGTCTCTTTACATTGAAAATGAACATAAGAGCTTTAACCTGAAATGAAAACTTAACAGAAAGTTTGCTTACAGTAAAGAAATAGATCTGTAACAATGGAATGATCTTTCATGGAGTTCATATATTTAAAATACAGGTTACTAGAACAAAACAAACCTGCCTAGATTGGTGCAGTCAGAAAAACAAGTGACGCTGATACTCAGTTAGTTCATGTTTCTGTTTCCAAATACAGATCCTTGAAGACCTAGATGAGCAGATGTATATCATCACTTTAGAGGAAGAAGCAATTCAGAGGAGGCTTAATGGTATGCTTGTTCTGATACTGCTTCAGATACAGTATTTAGAGTAGAGTGGTTCTGGCCATGAGTATTGATCTCACTGTTATGTAGCCTCTTCTCTTAAAATAGAAAATTTCAGCATCTTAGTATGTAACAAGAATTACAGGCTTACATTTCATTGCTCACTGTGTTGTTCAAGATTGGTGCGTGCATGTGTGTGTGGTTTACTTGGATTTGGTTTTTAACATGTTCATCAGCTCTAATATGTGAGTAATCTGAGACGGAGAAAGCAAACTGGTTGACCAGACCCACCACCCTTACTGCAAAATAGTTTGGATTGGTAAATGACTGTATTTTAGCCTTGTATGAAGAACAATGAGCCTATATTAGCAAGAAGCTCAACTTCCTGCATTATGAGTTTTGTTTCTTATATGGAGGATTTTTTCTGTTTCAGTTCATTATTATTTAGAATCTTAGGTAATAATTCATTAAATATTAGAGTAGGCTTATATTCGAGGAGCTATTTGGTGAATTTAATAATTTTAATAATTCTATTAATGAATAACTACAGTGAATAATTATACAAATGTTTTAGACTTCTTGTATTTACTATTACAACTTTGCACTTCTTGATAAGGTGTTTCTGTTTTGAAGTATTTCAAAAGCAGTATGAAGCTTTGGCTTCTAAGAGTAAGAGTATTGTAGCATGGCAGGCACCAATTACAGAAAATATATCAATTTCCTAAACCTGGAAATCCTGTTGTACAAATTCTCATCTGAATTGCTTTTAACTGCATGAATAAGCCATCCATCCACAATTTATACAATTGCTTCAGGTTGAAAAACCAAAGAATATTCATGTCATGACACATCCATTGCTGTGTTGTCTTACGACTTATTTTAGCCTTAATTTTCTTCATTTCTTGCCTTTCTCTTACTCTTCAGTCTTCTGTCATGCATCTCAATCTCTTCTTCTTTCAAGTCTCAGTAAGTCTCCTTTCGAAGTTGCGTGGTCAGGGAAAGTACCTTTCATAACAGTAGATCGTGGTGGTCGTCTTTATTCCAGCTTTTAAAATTTGTGGAGAAGTAGTGACTTCTTTGTGCTAAAATCAGCCATGGTTTCAGTTTAAAAGTAACATTCACCTTTGCTGTTTTGGAAGCTTAGGTTTTTATGCTGACATGCGTATATATACGCATACAGACATGGAAAAAGTTGCATGCAGTGAATGTCTTTTGAAGCTGTGACGGGCTAATTATAATTGGTCTGTGTGTTTGATGCTAGCTAGCAACTGTGTAATATTTGTTGCTGAATATTTTATGTTGTCATGGTGATTGTGCTTATGTACAAGAAAAGCAATACAGAAAAATGACCTGACAATTATTCAAGTAGCTATTAGAAGTAGCGTAGAGTGGTTTCCACTACTGGGGTGGAGAATGTGGTTGATTAGGTGATGATTGTCTGCTGTTTTTCTGCATAGAAGTCTATGCAACAGTTGTTTACATTACAATTTAGTAATACCACTCGTGAGGTGGACCTAGTCTGTTTGTAGGCATCTATTAATTGGATCTGGATTTAGGACATGGGCTGGCCTAACCACTAGCTGAAAGACTGGGTTCTGTTTCAGCGAATCGGTTAGTATTCAACATAAAGTGGAACTGCAACCCAGCCATGTTCCACAGAGCTCTTGCCAGCCTGCTCTTGCGATGTGAAAGATGTGGGGCTTAAATGTCCTTTTGACAAGCGAGGGAACTGAATTCTTCTGTTTCACATGCTGAGGGAATGGTATTGGCACCCCCATGTGAAGGAATGCTTGAAAACCCATAGTTTGGTGTACAGAGAAAGTTAATGGACTTAAGCTGAAAAGTAAATAAAAATCTAAACTTGGATAGAGCATGTAGATGGAGGGCAGTTTGTTATATGCACAAGAATATACTCTGCAAGATTTCTGTGAGTAATTATTTAAGTAATTTTAGGTATGGTTCTCATTTATGTGGCAAGCATGGAACGCTTCATCTTCTCTGCCAGCAGTCTTTCTAATACATACGAATTATGCCAGAAAAAGAGATACCATTTTTGCCAGAACTATGAAGACTCACGCTTATAATGTTTGTTGCATTTTTAAAAAACACGTACAAACGGAGGTGCGGTGCTAATTGCATTAGCAAGAGTAGTGCTGTGATGTTAGAAGCCATAATCTGTGATTTAACACACAGATTGTGTAAGCGTTTTTGTTGCTGTATCAGAGCAGATATATTAGGCTGCGTACTTCCTGTGCCTTGGCTATTGCAACTCTTCTGCAGTTGTGGTAGTGGAAATATATGTGCTTAAGTAACCCTGCTGGACAGTTCTGCAGTAAAGTGTTCTGAAATATGTACTCCATTTATATTTATAACCAGAGAGTTGAATTTTTATTAAAACTGAAGAGGACCAGAGCACAGGCTTAAGCAAGACTTGGCGATTGTCAATGCTGATTTTTCTTTTTTCTTGGTGGAATAATTGCTATCACGCTCCTAGCACTGCTTTGCCCTGTCCTTCTTAATGTTTCCTCAGACAATGCCTGGTCGTAGGAAGGGTGTAGCATAATCACTGTTCCCACTGAATAGGCTGGGTAAAGCCTCTGTTTTCAGAGGAGGGAAAAAGTTTAGCTGTGTCAGCTGGTGCCCTTCTTGATTCATATAGATGTAACTATTGCGGCAGTGATGCCATTGATAGAGTATTCTGTAAAGCTCTTCATATTTGAAAATGAATCTAACTGTGAAACTCCATATCTTCTTTGCGGAAACTAATTTTCTTCCTTCTCAGGTGTCTACAGTGTATAACTGAAAATCTGAGGAGGAGAGAGGGGAAAGTTTGATCGTGTTATCTACCCTAGTATTTTTATCTATTGAAGAGATACTGGGCTTTGGGAAAATGTTTGTTTCCAGTGTATTATATTTCAGTACCCACATCACTCCTACAGTCGAAGACTAAAGCTGGGACTTTTTTATATTAAAAGAAAAAAGTTGCCTTCAGCTATTAGTTTTCCTGAATCCAAAGAGACGGGTGGGGTAGGATCAAAAATACTTACTTGATCAAAGTTATTGGCTCTGAAGGTATCCTTACATAGGTAAGAAAGATGAAAGGTGTTGTTTTTATTGCACGCTAGTAACAGTGTAATTTTGAACTAATTGGTGTTGAACTGCCAATCACCTAGGGGGAATGCAAATAGATACTCTTACAATTTCCTTTGAGGTACTGAAATCTTATGTCTGGGCTGGAAGAAAAACAGAATAATACCGTTAAATTGACCTTAAATGAGCTGCTTTGTGGCTTTCTTGGAGAATCCCTTCTAACTTTTCATTGCTAGTCCAAACAAGTCTTGTCTACCAATTTGATTTATTGGCTAGACAGCGCTGACATTGAACTTTGTGCGTGTTTGAAATAAAGCTAATGTTATAGAGCTTTTAAGAATTTAGCTGCATCCTTTTCAAATACTCTTTTGACTGATCTGAAACTTTGCCTTCCCCTCTCGTAAAATATCCTTTTGTATAGCAACCTGTTGTTTGCTACTATTTTTAAGGAGGAACTACAACAGCACTTAAATATGATTTGGAATTTCTACTGAAGTGTCTCTTAGGGACTTAATGTGATCACACTGACTTTGCTGGAAAGACTCCCATGAATATCAGTGTTTTGAGCTCTGGGTTTTTATATTGAGGGGAGGAAAAAACATAAATCTGGAATAAAGCTTTTTCTCACAGACCCCTAAATCAATTATGGAGAAGAAAATGTCAGACACTAACTTGAGTTTTCTTACTTTTTCAACTGCTTCTATTAAAGTTCTTGAGACTTTTTCCACTGAGATCTATAGCTATCCTTTTTCTCAACTCATAGTAACTAGTCATTCCATAAAACGGATGTTTTAGACTTTTTTCAGAGGGAATGCATCAGCACAAAAGCTTATTTTTATACTGATAGTGAGATTTGTTTTGTTTTTTTTTTTTTTTAAAGAAACTTTTTCTAAAAAAATCCCCGTAGTATGCTTACTTATTTAAAACTGAGACACTGACAAATTAAACTGACATTCCTATTGCAGGTACTTCAGGTGAGTAGAAGTTGTTACAAAACAGCATTTGTAGGTTTTACTGGTTATTCCTGGGATTCAAGATACTTATATATTTGAAGCCACCGTAAATATTACCACATACACATTATATTACTGATAGTCAAAGATAAATGTTTAGGCATAGCACAGAGGTTATGTGCTATATGCAAAAATGTGTGTGAAAGAAGCAGGTAATTAAACATTTGAAAACTAATTTTTGAAACAGTTGGATGCCCCATTGATAATTTGACTGCATTGAACAAATCAGTATTACTACTCTGAAATAAAAAGAGTAACAGTTTAAAAAAAAAAAAAGTCCAAGAAACACTCTTATGTATCTTGGTTTTCAGGTAGGACCTCACTGTGCTGGAATATGGAGAATGTGGGGGCTGGATGGGATGAGAAATTTACCTTCTTATCTTGTACTGAGATTGCTGGACGGATGAGCAGACAACAGAAAATAAGGAAATAATGGGACTGGACTATAAAGTAGTGTGAGTGTGCCAGCAACCTAAGTGCTATTTAGTTTTTGTAGGCAAATGATCAAGATATGAGATAAAAGCCTGGACAAGACTATTAATCTCATAGAAATTTATTAGAGAGTGTTTAAATAAAGTATCTGGAGCATGGTGCTATTACAGCTTAGCCTGCAATCAAAGGTGAGGCTGAGGGTAGGGAATGGCCAACAGGTGAAGAGTGTCAATGTATATCGAGAAAGAAGATAACAGAGAGGACTTAAGGTGTATTAAGAACTTGAACTGTCACTGCCATAGAGTGAGATTGGCCTGGAACAGGCCTTACAGGGAAAATATGAGCCCTCTCAACTTATCTTCAGGTGAGATTATTCAGAAATAAAAGGGATGAACGTGGGGCAAAGATGAGTGGGGAGTGTTTCTAAGTTATCTTGGGAAGAATATTTCCAGTTTGTGTTTGCAAAGAGCAAAAGCTAAAGTAGAAACAGTGAGATCAGAACTGAAATAGATCTCTAGTCAGCATTTCAGAGCTGTATCGTTGCTTGAACACTGGGCAGTGTTTGTAGAGGAACTGGAATCAAGGAGAGAAACCACAGTGTGCTTGCACTGGAAAAGTTGGGTGGTTGGAACAGAATGGGAGGTTGAAGAGAAAAAGGATGGAGAAGGAGAATGGGCTGGGTTTCCTAGAGACCATGAAGGGATAGGAGGAAATGTTGCTGAGCAACTTTTAGGCAGAAAATTAGCAAGGGAGAGCGGAATTAATATTACGGTTGTCAGTTTTCAGCTGGTGTAGAGGAGAGCATTTGAGGAGTTGCACAGCAGTGACGTGCACATGCTGTCAACTGTAAAAAGGAAAGTGAACAAATACGGTCTCATGGGTGGTCATGAGGAAGATCTGATCGTGGTTGTTGGAGGGAGCTCTGTGGCACAGAGACACTGACCAAATCAGCCAAACTGGTATGAGCAGAAGATACGTCAACAAGCAGGTCAGCAGTATGGAAACTGAGCGTGCTGGGTGAAAAGGGCTGGGAAGGGGAGCGAGGGGCAGAAGCTGTAAGTGGAGGTCCAGCCACCAGCTTGCTTAGTTTGAAGGCAAAGGTCCGCTTTGTCTTTAAGTTGCTAGATAATAATGCCCGTGAAGGTATTCTTTACACCTTAATATACGAATTGTATAGAGATACAAGAATGAGGCATTTGAGACATCCTGTGTCAGGCTGCCACACCATAACTGGTTTTTGGACCTGTGCAACAGTTCAGCAGTAGCTCTTAGCTCTTGCAGCAGCTGGTCAACAGAACAGGCAGGGATCACAGAAGGTCACACTGTGAAACCTCTGATGTGTTGAACTCTTCTGCTTAGACGGAATTAGAGGATTCTTAACTAAACCGCTGTTTTTTGAAAAGTAGTTGAAGAGTCTCAAAGAAACACCTGCAGTTTAAAGCCACAAGTGTTAATGCGATGCTTCTTAAATCTGAATTGTCACAGGGTGTCTTACAGTACTATAGTTAGTCTCATCCAAAAGCAAATACCGTCTTCTGTTTTAAAAGGTATATCTTCCATGGTGGAATACCAGACAGTAGAGTTGGAACGGGAGCTTGAAAAAGTGAAAAGCAAGAAAACTAATCTAGGTAATAAACTTTTTTCTACTGTTTCATGTGGATTGCAGTTTAATGAACGGCCTTAAGATGCTGTGTTCAGCTTGTAGCAGTCACTTGATTGATTCCAGTTTGTTCTTAACCAAATTTGTGCGTTTGCAGTCCTTTCAAATTGTCATAGCTCCTACAAATACGTTACATGGAATCATTGTGCCCCTCTAACAAATTTAAGTAGGGAGTCTGATTTGGATCTTATTTTTAACCTAATTTCAGAGAAATTGTAACACTCTTGACTTCCTTGTATGGAGCTCAGTAGCAAGTCTTTTCATATATAATGATAAGCTTATGATTGTTTGGGATAATCTAAGACAGTACTTTCCTCTCTGTTTTTGAATTATTTCTATAGAAGTCAAATTGTGTTTAAGAACAGTAAAATAATTCTTAGCAGGTTTGTGTCTTTTAAAAATGAAAAGTGATGCTTCTGGTAATGGCAGCCATTCAACAGGAATCTCCTTACTTATTCAGAGGCTTGCAGGATTTTGCATTTATCAGTGTGTTATGTGCAAAACTAAGATTGTGGTAAGAAAAAGCTGTTGGGTTTTCTTTTTAGACATACTAGTGATGTCCAATGAGTTAGTCTTGTCTTTCTTGCCTTATGTTATAAGAGGAAAATACTGTTTAAATATTTGAAATTCCCTTCTGTCCCTTTAGGTTGTACTAAAATATACATGTAAACAGCATATTTTTAAATTCAGTATATTTTAAACTTTGCAGAAGTGCTGTATGCCAGGGAAAAAAATGTTATGGTGAAACATGCCTGTAAACAAGAAAGAAAAATCTGCTTCTCTCTGTCTCCCCAGCCTTTCTCTAAAGAGGCTTCATATTTGGGATTGCTTCATACAGCTCTTCAGGGTGGATATTTTTATGAACTGGTTGGTGTAGGTTCAAGATAAGATTACTTTTGTTACCTACAGTTATAACAAGAGCTTAGAGATAGCTGAATGATTTTTACGTGTTTTATTCTAAGGTGATCTACGGTGTTAAGCTTCTGTTTTTCTCTTCTGAACAGAACGGCGGAAAAAAGCTTCTGCTTGGGAAAGGAATTTAGTCTATCCAGCTGTTATGATATTGCTACTGATTGAGACGGTAAGAATTTTGTTCTTTCTTCCCCCTTCCCTTCCCCCCAACAAAAAGTATGAAGAATTGTTGGGTCATTTGGGGGAATAGTTTTAAAATTTTTGAGTGACGTGTGTTTAAGCAACAAAATTGATATTCTTTTCTTGACCATTTTAAAAGAACTTAACATTATGAAATCTGATGAGGATACATGTATACATTTTAAAAATGTGGAATACTTTTAAATAACAAGACTGTTTCTACTTCTTTGTAGGCCATCTCGGTCTTCTTAGTTGCTCTCAACATTCTTTACCTGTTGGTTGATGAGACTGCAATGCCAAAGGGATCAGGGGTAAAGTAAAATTCTCTTATGATTTTTATAACTTTAGTGAAGCTTTGGAGCCGTTACAGAAGTGCAAGTGAGAACTTCTGCTTTAATAACATTGAAACTAATGAGCCTCAACCTTGACTTTGCTTCTAGGTTTTGGTCCTGTGCACACATAAACATTTATTACATGTCATGTTGTAGTGAGTTCTTAGTAAAACTAGTCCAGAATCTTTATGAAGATACATGGATTCAGTAAAGTAAATCAGTAATCTGGAGTTTGCATTTTACTCACGTCGCCTACTTTTATATGGACTAGACATCTTCAACTTAAGAAACTCTGTTAAAAACCAATACGAAAAACCTGTCTTGGTTTGTGTTCCTCTTAGAAAGCATGATGTTTTTTCCTCCTTTATTACAAAAATACTTCAAGAAAGTAAAGAGCAGCACATGGAGTAGTAGCGTCTTTAATCATGAGGGGTTTTTTTATTAACTTGGTAATGCTTTCCCCCACATATAGCTGTATACAAGCTTGCAAAGCTGTAAAAGGTGTTTAGCGGTGATGGCCACTCTGCCTGTGCAATTGTGAACAACTAGAAGTGTCATCTTTTGAGACCCCTTATTTTAGTTTCCAAAGTAATGGAGTGCATATAAAAGGCAGCATGGCGGGTAGATGCCGCGTGCATAAAATGTGAATCATTGTACCTTCGGTCTTAGTAATACGTTTCACTCAAGTTTGAAAGCTAGCTGATGCAATTGCATAGGATGGGAGACTTGCAGGTTAGAACATTAGAATGCTCCTTAAATACTGAACTGAAAAAAGGCTGTATTTCATGTAACTTGTTAGGGGTTTTGGTGCTGGTAGAAGTTAACTTCATGAACGGTTGCATGTATGTTATTCAATTATGCAAAGTATTTTTCTCCTTGTAGGGGCCTGGAATAGGAAATGCCTCCCTATCCACCTTTGGTTTTGTGGGAGCAGCACTTGAAATCATTTTGATTTTGTATCCTTTCTTAAAGAATTCTGTCTGTTAACAAGTATTCTGTCTAGTTTTCTGGGACACTGGTAATTTACTAAGACACTTGCCTGGAAAGAAGAAAGAGACAGGTCAGTCCTTCTCAAGCACTCGAAGTGTTTTTGTTTTTTTTCTTTGGTTCTTAAGACTTTTAGGAGACTGCTGAGAACTTGAGTGAAACTTGCATTCCTTGGAGATTCCTTTTTCCTTGATTCTCACAGCTATCTTATGGTATCCTCTGTCGTCGGCTTCTACAGTCTTCGTTTTTTTGAAAATTTCACTCCCAGGAAGGATGACACGACTATGACAAAGGTAAGGTAAAGTCTGTGATGGGGATGGCCCCCTCCTCTCTTTCTTGCCACCCAAGACAAACTGACTCTTTTAGTTAGTAATTGCCCTGAATGGCTCATTTGCAGTGATCAGTATTTGTTTGTAAGCTGCGTAAACACAAACTGGAAGATTTTCGAAATGCTGAATGAGTGGGAAAAAGGATGTGCTCTGTTTAGTTTGGATGGCATCCATTCACTTGTAAAAAGCCGGGAATAGCAGAGCTTGTTAACTAGCTATAGAAAAGCTAGTGAAAGAACTTTTTTCAAAGGAAACGTATTGCTAATGAGTAACTTTGATTGTGCTAACTGTACTTCAGGGAGCTTGTTTGAAATCTGAAGAACTTGGTTGCTAGAAGTAATACAAAGTAATTCAAATTTGAATAATTAAACTAAGACTGAGGAGGTCTATTCAGCAACATTTTGCAGTCTGAGGCTAATTTGACTTTCTACAATTTAGCACTGGCTTCAGAATAACAAATGCTGTTACCTAATGCAGAGGAACATGCTTTGTTTTTTTGGCAAAATATTCCCACAGCTGACAAGGGGAGGTGATCAGTAACTGAGGAACAGATGTTGAATTTAATTATTTTTTTCAATGTGTTTCATTGTTTGTGGTGGTTTTTTTTTAAGTAATGGATAAAGACATTTTTACCATAAATTGTTGGGAGTGAGAAAGTAGGTAAACACACAGAATGGTTATAGTAGATAGGTAGTAGGGAGTTGGAATGTTCTTAATGTTTTCTGTTGATTACAGTACACCAGGAACAGTGAATGCACAAATGTCTACCTACTTTCAAGAAGTTTTCTGGGTTTTTTTCTTTTGGATTCTGATAGAATTAGAGCTGAAGAAAGTGATCCCTTGTGAGAAAAAGTTTCAATTACTCTTTATAAAGGCTTCACAAAAACTAGAGTAAAATCTAACAGCTGTGAATTTTTTCATACTATTTAAAGTAGTCAACAGGCATTCAATTGAAAGGAAGCTCTTTGTTGTAATTTTTTAAATAATGCTAATCCTGCAAGCAGTTACATACAAAGCTTAAGCTGATGTATCAGTCATCTATGCTAAGCCCATGGAACGGTTCTTTTAGAAAAAGTTTGCAGGAATTAAGTAAACAGTAGACGCTTTGCAACATGGTAGTTTTGAATTATTTTGAATCTAAGCATGCGTAACACTGATTAAAAGCAAATGATTACATATTTGATTTTTTTTTAAACTTGGATCATCTTCATCTTGTGTAGTCCCATGTGGAGAAGTGTGACAGGAGTAAGCAAGAGTAACAATATGTTATTGTAAATTGCTTTAGGTTCAGTTGGAAGAATGTAACTTTTAAGAATTATTCTTTTTCATCTTGACCGCTGTTTTTCTTCTCTTTTTTTTTTTCTTTTCCCTTCAGCAATCCTATTTATAATTGAAATGCTGTTTGTCATTTTCAAACAGATCATTGGAAACTGTGTGTCAATCTTGGTGCTGAGCTCTGCTTTGCCAGTGATGTCAAGGACACTGGGTAAGTGAAATGGAAGTATAAAACATTGTAATAAAGAATATTTAATTGAGTTTAAAAAAAAACAAAAGGAAAAAAGAACAGCCTGTAGCTGTACCTTTCATAGTATGTATTTAATTTGCCATCACTTTCAATAGAAAGAGCATGTCTATGTGGCCTTCTTCTCTACACCAACATGAGCTGTTGAACGTACATTCTACATACATGTACTGCAGAACATACATTCTAAAAAAAGATGCTAAGCATTTTCTAGAGAATATATTCTTTTAAAAAGGCAGGTCAGATTTTAAACTTCTTAAAACAAGATGGTGAGAATAGATATAGAGACTGCTTGTTCAGGGCAGTATAAAATAGTTTCATGTTCACTGTGAAATTACAGTGCTCAGGTTTTGTGAAAAATACATTTGGGAATTTCAGGTATAAAATTTAAGATAACGTTGAGTGCAAATATATTTTTAAAAACAGTTAAGGACTTTTCATTTATTTTTTTTTTATCAGCAATGATACCAGGCTACTTTCATTTTCCCTAAAATAATCTGCTTGTGTTCTTTGTTACTTCGGTTTTCAAATATAAAAATTTGGAATCCAGCATAGTGGAACTGAAGAAGTTCTGATTTTATTGTTAAGAACTGGCAGTAGCATTTGAAGCGGAACAGTTGGAACTACAAGATGTTTTGTGTCTTCACTTTGTTTAATTAGGTAATCTGCAACTTGAATTCTTGAAGTTAGATTGCAAGGCTATCACATATTTAAGTAGTGCAGGATACTTGCAGCTAATGTGCATTTCACTGGGAACATTAAATGGAACAAAACAAAAATCTTCACCTTGGGCTGTACGAATCTTAAGTACAAGCTTCAGAGTTTAAGCTCAGGCCTGCAGACCAGTAAGGTGTACCCAATACTGTTGTAGCTGGTTTTCTTTTCAACCAGGATACTGTCAAATCAAGAGTAGTTATTACTTTCCGGTAAACTATACTGTATATTTTCATGCGGTGTATATCTACAGATGATGAGTTTCATTAGATTTACTAGATCATTTCTGTAACAAACCAAAAGACCCTGTAATGCATTTTGGAGGGTTGAATCTTAAAATACACCTTCTGGAGCTCATGTTTTAAAAATCTGTGATAAAACTGCACAAAAATGCAAAAGAATAATTCAGGTATTTACAGTAGTGCAGTTTTAACATATAGCTAGTACAATAAAGATCTAAGTAGTGAAACAGTTCTAGCACTTAGAGCAAGATGTTATGTTGAAAAATTAGTGTTTTAGAATAGAATTTTAACATTAGTATTGTGTCCACTAATTTACTGCATTCATCATTTGTTTAAAAAAAAAAAATCATTGTTAATGATCTATGAGATTAACAGGTGATAATAAACGGATTCTGTGGAAGTAAGTATACATGCTGGGTGCATTGTTGTCTCACAGGAAACAGATTAATGGTAAAACTCAGTTTAAAAAAAAAAAAAGACTAACAAATGAAATTCCTGAATAGTTTGCCATAGAGATAAAAAAAAGAAGAAAAAAGATGGAACAATTAACACACAGCTAACAAATGCACAGTCACAGCTGTCCAAACAGGATTAATAGAGTGTATTAGAGTACAGTGAGTCATGTGGTGCTTTGCAAAAATATCAACATGTGCTGCACTACATGCTACTGCCCTGCGGCACTGAATAGATGAAAAGAAATAAATGTTAAGCAGATTCATAGTCTTCTCACTTTATTAAAAAAGCGAGTTTCTAGACTATTTAGAGAGGAGACTAGACTTTATCATTATGGGAAAGGTAAAAAGCAAAAGTTATCTAATACATGTACTGACCTTCACGTTTTAAAAATGGAAATAGGAGAAATTTTTTGTTTCCTAGCATTCCCATTAAATATCTAGGTGGTGGATGTCTCTAATCTGTCATTCTTTTAGAACTCCAGGAAAGTTTTTACTAAAATAAGGGGTTTTTTTTACTAAAATAAGTTAACTTATCTTTTCCAGAACGTTTCAGCCTTTTAGTAGTCCTTCTTGAAAAAAAGTTTCCCACCAGCACCATATTGCTAACCACTGTGAAACAAATTGGGAACAGAGAACTTAATAGCCAGGAATATAGAAACAAGGAACTACAAACAAAATTGAGTTTTCTAATGTACAACAGCATTCCTAGAATTCTTCTCTGGATTATTATGGTTAAGTTAATAGTGATTTAAAACTTATTTGTATGTACAGACTAAGAACATAGTATTTTTTTTTTTTTAACCTGAACAATTCTTTAATATTTTGTTTGGTAAATTGTCACCAACTTTATTGGATATATATTTGTGTCCACTAGAGATGTAGCTTTCTGTTCAGTTACTGAGTAGTCTTTCAAATTGCAGTCTTGGGAATTTTCTTCTGTGGGCTGAGTAGATACTTCTCTAAAAGTCAGCAAAAGCTGTTTAATCCTTTTCTACCACAAACTTACAAAATGATACTGTGTCAGATGTTTTTTTTTCTGATGAGCATCAACTTTTTTTTATTCATATGAGGAAAATGAATGTAACTTGTGGACAATATTTTTTCCCACCTGCTCGAACAGCACTGTCAGGCTTCATTTTTGTTTGTCCTCCATTGCTAGCTATTCTTCTGAACCCCTTTGTGTCAAGGAATATTTTTGCTTTTTCAAAGAACTCTTTACTCAGTGCTCTACCTGTTTTGTTTCTTTTCCTTTAAAGGTCTGAAAACCTATATGTTCAAACTCAACTTTCTCAGTTTTCTTGTAGCTCTGCAGTCTGACTAAAACACTCTGCTTCTTTGGAAGTATTCTTAAGGACACTGTCTGCTTTGGCTTTGTGTGAAAGCAACTCTGTGTTTATTATCCTTCACCTGTTTACCAGCTGATTCAGTCAGCCAGTTTCTTCTTCTTGTGCTAAGACCTTCTGTGCTTTTTTGATATTTCTCCCTGCCTCTTTTGCTATTTTGATGAGCTTCAGTCTTTTTTTGGCTTTATTCTTTGAAAATTCTCCTTCTTTTAATTGTCTCCATTTTGGCATGTTTTTCTTAGATACTAAATTTGATTCCCCTATTTTTTTTTATTGACTGATGCTGAGTACCAGAAGCATGCGTATCTTTTAACATTGTGATAGCCAGCTCTAAGTCTTGGATATTGAGGTACAATGAGATTCGTAAGTGCCAGGTTTACCCTTGAAGGGAAGGTAACTGACCCTTAATTCTGCCTCTCTTCATTTATTATCGCTGTTGAAGTCACAGTTCTTAAAAGCCCCCAAACCCTTTCAAAATAAGATGATAGAAGACTCGCTTCCAGGAACTTCAGAGCCAGGGTTATTTTCTGATTGCCTAGTTTGCTGCTGCCATTTCAGTTGGGGGCGAGGTAAGCTTCCTTCCTTCGCACTGTTGGTCTCAACTGTGAGAGCGCACATCAGTGTGGCATCATCTGTGTCAAAAGTTTTTGGGAATATAATGGCTCTTCAATCCTAGACAACTGTTATTTGGGTATCATCTCAGTATTTTGCCCTTTATTTGGTGCAGTCCTTGATGTAGACCTGGCAAAGGAACAACCTATGGTCCTTCCTCTTCTGCCTTCTGGGATGGACCCTATGGCTCGTAGACGCTTCCACATTTCGGAAAAATTTTGCTCACTTAGCTTTAGTGATTGACTAGCCTTTGATCAGCACAAAGCCCAAGTGTCAGTGTTGTGAGGTCCACTGTGAAGACAACCTGTCAGCACTATCTTTCAGCCAAACTCTTTTCATTCTGTGCAAATGCTCTGTGGCTGTAGTGGCGGGTAGATCCAGGCATAAAACGGCAGCTGGAAAGATGTCTTTAAACTTTGGTTTCAAAAGAGTGGCTCAAAAGTTACAAAGGCTTAGTGTTTACTGTAAGATGTTGTGGCTTTAGTGGAAAGGCTTTTTGCTACCTGTATTTTTTAATAAGAAAGCCCATGGTGCATTTCATCCTTCTCTGGAATAGAAACGTTTCACAGGAACGGAGATTTCAAGCAGTTTTCATAGTAATACTGATTTTTTTCCTAGTTATATTTATCAAAATCATAAAAGCAGAATTCTTATCTAAAATAGACAATTTACTTCAACTCACATTATTCAAGCATTTTACTAGGAAACTTAAGAAACATTTTGATTGATAAATGTGTCTTACAGTTTTATAGTGGTCAGTGAAGGGGAAAAAGACCTTGAGAACATTGTCTTGTGTGTTTAACCGTGTGTCTTATAGTGTGTTGTCTGAAAGAATTTTGCTTCCATGTATAGAAAGGAATAGAATTAAATTTTTGTGTTTCCTAAAAAATGTAGTCAAGATTTTGATGTAAATCTTAAATGCAATTTTAACAGGAATCACCAGATTTGATCTGCTTGGAGACTTCGGAAGGTTTAACTGGCTGGGAAACTTCTATATTGTATTGTCTTACAACTTCCTCTTTGCTATCATGACAACATTATGTCTGGTCAGAAAGTTCACTTCCGCTGTGCGAGAAGAGCTCCTGAAGGCATTAGGTAATATAGCACTGAAAATTTAGTTTGTACTCAAATGTTTCCTTTCTCCAGCATCAATACCCGATGTGCTGCTGTTAAAGTTCTGTTACAACTCACAGAAAGCTTTTTTTTTTTCGTGGAAGTTTCTGTAAGTTAAGGTGAGAATGCATAGCTCTGTGTTACTTTTTTGAAGAGTTGAGAGCTAAGGTACAGTGTTGATCTTAACGATACATCTGTGTACTTAATGATCCGCAGTTAGATTTTCAGCCTTTAGAGAGCACAGAAACATTCTGATTGCTACTGAGCAATTATTCCAAAATAAAACTGCAACTTGTGTGTGGGTTGGCTTTTTTCTTTTTTGTTTAAAGCAACTCATTAATTCCCTAAAAGTAGTTTAGTGGAAGTCTTAGCTGCTTTGTTGTGATCCTTTTTTTTTTTGAGCACTACATGTTCAGAAAATCTTTGTACAAAATATACAGATTCTTAGTAACTGGCTGAGTAAAACCTGTAGTTGATATAATCAAAATTTTGACCAAACTCTGCATTCATGTTTCTTGGCCATAGAAGAAAGGTTTGAAACATATTTGATACTAAGAGGATAAAATGTACATATTTAGTAATTGTGTTGTCACTACATCTTATCTTTACTAATTAATGAAGCTCCTACTGCTTTAGAACCCTAGAGTAGTATTTGCTTAAATTGAGAGGACTAATGGTGAAACTTCAGTGTTTGTTTGTAACTGCAGATTCAGTTTGCAGTCTACTAAAAGGTACTTAACGTTAGTTTTCACCGGTTACTGCTTTCCGCAGTTGTCACCCTGGTAAACAAAATCCAAGCACCTCCTAGAGTGCAACTCCACTGGTGGCAATTAAGTTAAAATCAGACCTACTAGGTAGCGGAAATACAAAATGACTGACAGGGTAGGATTAAAACAAGCCATTCTGTGATTTTTGATGTTGAGTTTTGAAGTGCCAGGGGAACAGATTGGTGGGCCTGGAGTGTGTAAATCTGTCCATTGATTTTTAAATATTTTCAGAGAAGTTCCATTGTTGATTGGGACGGATACATGATGCGAGTATGATGTATTTGACATTATCCCCCAGCTTTTAGTTAAGGTCATTTTATGAGAAGACCTTGATTCATCTCTTTCAGTTGACTTGCATAATGCTGTTCTTTTTGTGCAACCATTTTGACTGTAAAGGGATTACTTTGTATAATGTAATGGCTGTTGCAGCGCTCTGAAGAAATAAATTATCATCAGTCAGCATGGGCTTATAGCAACAGGTCTGGTAAAACTTTAAAGTTTCTGTCTTAAAGTAAATTATGTAAAAATTTGTCTTAATTCATGGCACTTCACTGTATTAAACATGGTGTTTAATAAAAAATTATATATGTTGAAAGCAGATTAACAAGCTTCAAAATGCAGGCATAGTAGGATGGTCATTGGATGGCATCATTCTAGAGGATTTTTTATGGATTTTTTTCAGTCTAGTGCTATCACGTCTTGTGTGATTTTGTGTAAATATTTCAACACTATGCATAACAAACAGTGTCTGTTAAAAACTGTCACATGGAATTCAGAGAATGAGAACCAGAATTTGTGTGCTCATTTTTCCCCTGTGCTGAAAACTGTGACACTAAGAACCTAGAGGTTGGTGGGGCATCATGGCTAATTAGTGGAAGGTAAAGTCCTGCCGCAGGCCTGTGACGAAAAGAATTTATGTCATATTGGGACTTAGAAATAATACAATATTGAGTAGATGTTTTTTTAGTAGTGCAGTCAATTTTGGAATTCCAGTGATGTAAGAAAATTAACCTGGTACATCATGGAACTTCAGTAAAATCTTCAATATAGTCTACGCTAAATGAATAAGAAGATCTTTCAATTTTTGATCCTTAATTTTAGAGGCTTGATAGGACACTTCAGAGAGAAACTGTAGCAAGCAAGGAAGGACTGGCACCATGCCTCTTGTGAATAAAATACGGTTAAATTTACCATCCTTCTACACCTCCCCCAAAAAAGTGGTTTAACTACTTGCCTGGGACAGGATGGGAGACTTTAATTAGTGCTCATGGTAGAGAACTGTGCAATAAGAACAAATGGCTGGAAATGCAGGTAAACAGATTAGTAATAACGTAGGCCTAAAAATATTATTAGACATATAAACAGTTTAGAGAGGTGATGTGGTCATCACCAATGATCTTAAGATCAGCGATGGATGCTTTTCAGAAAGGTGCTATAGTTTAAAGGAAATATTTTGGTTAATTATTTTGGTCTTTGTAGGTTGACAGAGTAAAGGATTGCAAGTCTTCCTCTGTTCTTAATATCTAAGTCTGTGATTTAAGCAATGTGAAGCAAGGCTTCTCTTGCTTCCACGCTTGTCCATTGTAGTGGACTTGTCTCGCATGAAACACAACTGAGGGAATTTCCCAGAAGTAGTTCTTACCTGAGCTAGAATGTCAATTCTGGTCTGCAGCAAATGCCAAAGTGCATAATCACAAAGTAGAATTTGGTTTGTATGTATTCTTTTGAATAGCTGTGTGCATGAAACGTGTGGGTGAATCTCAGTTTTTCCTTACTGTGTAATGTTTTGCAGGGTTAGATAAACTTCATCTGTCAAACAATCCAAGAGACTCAGAGACAAAGCCGTCTGCAAATGGACATCAGAAAACACTGTGATTAACAATCACCTGCAATCAACAGAGCTGAAAACATCAACCTCATGACATTCCTGTCATCTCAGCAGCATTTTTATGTCGATTTTATTTGTTGATAATTTGGGTCCAACCTTGTCTCATTTTTTGATGCTGTGAGCTTCTGAGGAAGTCGGGTATATCAGATTCTTCTCTTTCCAGCGAACTTTTGGTCTGCTTGTTTATTTCCCAGTAAGTTAATGCAGGAGGTGCCTTGAAGACTGGAAGCTGAAGAGAATAATGCATTCCTTTTTATTTGTTGACAGTCTCATATCTTTAGATAGAAACCTGCTACCATTTGAATGCACAGTACCTCCTGTGTTATATAGACACAGCTACAAGGAATAACTTTGGGATTTGGTTTTAAAAAAAAAAAAAAATACACTTGAAGCCCTATATGACCCTTACTGGAAATGTAAACTACCTGGAGTAGGTATCCTTGACAGTAGATAAACAGTTCCACTAAGAATGTGTTAAAAATGAAGTAACTGGTAGAGATCACAGTTCCTTTCATGCCGGATACAGTAGGCTGTTCATAGTCTAAAGTCACGGAGCTTTCTTGGAAGGCCAGCGTTTTCAGCTTTCTGTTCTTAGCTATAAATGCCAGGTTGCTTTACTGGTAGTCAGACAATGTCTTACCGAATAGAGTGAAGTGCAAGATGAAGATTAACTTCAGCGTTAAATCTGAGCCTAGTATGCTTTGTAAAAAGCTGTGTAGACCCCCTGTCACAGCTCTTACAGTTCTGTAAGCTATTGTGCCAAGGCGGTCACTTACCCTACCAAGTACATCCCTGTAAAATTCTTTATGAACTACTGTGTATAAGCAGTACTTGTAATCAATGCAAGTAGCACAAGCCTAGGAGGCTGCAATTGCAGTTTTTTACAGTCTTCTTTAATTTGAAGTAAATTATTTCTCTGAATTTGTACTATAGGTACTAGGATTTCTGTTCAGTGGCATAATCCAGTATCTTTCACTAGCCTGTTTTTTAATGTACACATGAACATGTATATAGGCCTGTATGTGTAGATACCGTAAATTAAATTCTAAGCTTATAGAGATGACATAGATGGCTTGGTAAGTAAAACTTCTGCGTGTTCAATCGTAGTAGTAGGATTTTCTGCGGTGTTACAGTTTAACTGCTGAGAGGCCTTAGATGCAGGATGGCATCGGTGGGTGGTAACGTCCTTTTTCTTAGCATTACTGCAGCCTTAGGAATCCTTTAAGCAGTTTAAAGAAAAAACCCACCAACCAAAACCTGAGTAAGTATTCCAAATCTGGTTGCACTTTTGTCCTGCTCTGCCACAATAGATTGGAATGGGGACATCTTCAGCGTGTGCCCATTATGTAGTGGGACAGATAATGTTCCTGTTTATTTCCCATTTTGTAAAACAAGTATGTCTGTCTGTAGTTTGAGGTCTTATACACCGTGATCAAGCGGTGACAACTAGCTCTCCAGTGTGGCTCCAAAGTAAGATAAACCTTGTGTCAGAAACTCTTCGGCTGCTCTCCTGAGATAACTGCTCTGGGCTGTAGATCTTACTGCTCTGTGTGTGAATGTGCACTGCCTTTTTTTCTTTTTTTCTTTTCCTTCTCTCCTAGAGTGCTTAAAAATTCGAGCTCCAGTATACATGAAGATTTCTCAGTTTTTTTGCAGCTGCCTTTTCTGACTTGAACTGGGGCATAATGTAAATATTGCTGTAGTGAATATAATGCTAGAGTTACTTTTTTTTTTGTGTGATTAGTATAAATTCAAGGCTTATTAAACTGACTATTGATGTGTTGTACTGAGTCTTGGAAGACAAAGTAAAATTGCTTGATTTCACCAAGATTTACAAGCATCTTTTCTGTTGTTTGAGTTTAATGCTGACATTTTAGGGAGAAATCTTTATCCGAGTCAAAGTTCTGCAACCAAGAACAGGGAGCTGTAATTAAAAGTTGTTTTAAAATGTGTTTACATTTAAAAATACCGGGAGATTTATTATTAGGTGTGTCATTCAGGTATTCTCAGAGCTTATAGCCTTAGGCATTAGCATTACAGTTAAAAATAACTGAAATGTATCCACTTGTTCATGCAAGTGATTGTGTGACCAAAATTGTCCTCGTGTCTTAATGGGGCTGGTGAATAGTGGTGTGTGAGGCTAGTTAGCTTTATTAAAGTATTTCTATTACAACTTTAAGACAGTTATTTAAATACACTCTGTAAAACGGAAGAAATTAATATAAGGAATAAATCTAGGGAGTGTGAGCCAGAATAGGACTTGCTGTTCATGCTTTTGGAGAGATGTTTGTCCTGGCATCAGTGACCCAAGAACAGAGGAAAAAGATGGGATTATAATGTGCGCGTGGTTTCTGAAAGCAAGTTGGGCAATTACTTAAATTGAGCAGAGACAGTT